GTGCTAAGTTCATCCTCTTCCTCAGACTCTTCCTCACAGGACTCCAGATAGTGTCCTCCCAACGCATTGATCCCTGAGTCTTCGGAGCTGGAGGGCGAAGAGCAGTGGCCCATTTTTGGTCCTTTAACAGTCTCCTCAACAGTCTGCTTGTCTTCAGTGTGTGGTTTCTGTGGTGTCAGAGAGGCGGGGTGGGAGGGGCCTCCGTGTGAATTGGGGGCCGCTGAACGTAGCACATCTTGCCGTTGATGCATTTGACAATGTAGTCATCGATGAACAGTTCGGCAATGTTGCAGTATTTGGGAGATTCGGGACAAGGTGGAGGCAGGAAACAGGGGGAGATGCGGAGGAATCGTTCAGTCAGTGAGATGGACAGATCGACTGTGTCCGTGCAGTCAGATGGAGCAGCCGGCACAGGTGTGCTGGGTAGCTGAGCGACATTGGTCATGGGCTGGTAGACATATTTACCTGTACAGACAGAGTAAAAGGAGATTATTACCTTGATGTCTCAGAAAGCACATACTAATTTGTGAATTAAAATTGTATTACCTCAACAAGACTGGAGCAAGCAGAAAATTTTAACTGAGGCTTTGGGAATATTTAGGTAGAATATAAGAATAGTTTACCCAAAAATGAAAATTTGCTGAAAATGTACTCAACCTCAGGCCATCATGTAGATGAGTTTGTTTCTCCATCGGAACAGATTTGGAGAAATTTAGCATTACATCACTTGCTCACCAGTGGATCCTCTGCAGTGAATGGGTGCCGTCAGAATGAGACTCCAAACAGCTGATGAAAACATCACAATAATCCACTACTAATTCACATGACTCCAGTCCAGAAACAAATAAACCATTAAGGCGTGCTTGATCCGTGCATATTTCTCTCCTGGTTCATATGAGGTGACTTTTTCACTGGAGAAAGCAATATTATGGATAGATGACTCATTTGAAGTGATGGATTTGTTTCTTACTAACATGCAGCTTTTCACTTAACAAGATGTTAATTAATGGACTGGAGACATGTTGATTACTTGTGGATTATTCTGATGTTTTTATCAGCTGTTTGAACTCTCATTCTGACGGCACCCATTCACTTCCGAGGATCCATTGGTGAACATTTCTCTAAATCTGTTCCAACGGATAAACAAACTCATCTACATCTTGGATGGCTAGGGGGTGAGTAAATATTCAGCAAATTTTTATTTTTGGGTGAACTGTTCCTTTAAGTATAACTGAGGCATCCAGAAAAAAGGGACAAGATGCATTACATTAAAACTCACAGGATGCTTCATTATGTAGTTTCTTGCAGTGCACTGCAGTATTAGTGCCAGACCGCTGGTCTGAATGTCATCATCATTTACAAATCAATCTGTTTTGTTTTCATTAAAACACAAATATCAGTATCTCACACAGAGACAGTTATCCAAAAACCTGTGGCGTGCATCTACATGCCGATGAAAACTACTGGCACACACCACTTTTGTTAGTTATCTTTGGATTTGCTGTCAGAAAAGAGATATAAAAAATCTAAAATTGTCAAATGTAATTCATTGAAACATATTGCATTACATAATAAAAACCTGTGTACAGTGAGAATAGTTAGAGATTTAAAAAAAATGAATTATCCACTGAGGTGGTATTACAGTTCAGCAATACTGCTTTCAGAATGAATTAATGGGGCTTATTCTACATGTTGTAGCAATTTATATTTATCATAATCCACTAAGTAGGGCTGCACGATTAATCGAATGCGATTGTCATGCGCATCTTGTCAGTAAAACCAGTAAAGAGTAAAGAGCTGATTTTGGGGAAAAAAAGTCACCAAAAACTACTATATTAGCTACACATTCAACAGCACTCACAGTATATACAGAACTAATCTGAGAACATAAAGAAATATACCACATGTGAGATTTTCCACCTTTTTATTAATAGGTGTTTAAATAAAATTTCTGATCCCACATTATAAAAATCTGGATTATTTGTGACCCTGGAGCACAAAAGCAGTCATAAGTAGCACGGGTATATTTGTAGCAATAGCCAAAAATACATTGTATGGGTCAAAATTATTCATTTTTCTTTTATGCCAAAAATCATTAGGATATTAAGTTAAGATCATGTTCCATGAAGATATTTTGATATGAAGATAACTTCCTACTGTAAATATATCAAAACTTAATTTTTGATTAATAATATGCATTGCTAAGAACTTCATTTGGACAACTTTAAAGGCGATTTTCTCAATATTTAGATTTTTGTCCTGTCCTAACAAACCATACATCAAATAGTTGTATCTCGACCAAATATTGTCCTATCCTCTCAATTTCACAAAATTGACCCTTATGACTGGTTTTGTGGTCACATTTTTGCCCTGAATCCTGGTGGTCTCATGTGCTCATGGTTTTGTTGTCAATCACCCCTCTTTGCAGCTTTTTTAAAAATACAAATAAAAACTGAAAAGAAAAATGTTGGTTTTCATGAATGGCCCCTTTCATATTTCAATCATATTGTGAATATTACAGATGGGAATTTGAGAGAACTGCTGTATATCAAAAGTTTGATCAAGGAGGATTTTTTTGTCCTATTTTTCATTTTATGATTCAGCAGGGTGCTCATGCTCCCCCATTGTTGAAAAATCGTCAAAATGAAAAGTCCAGAGAGGGAGGGACAGACGGCACCATACAGCATGTTTCCGTTCCGTTCCACACATCTGGTAGAATTCAGCCGGGGTGTGATCAGGACAACTATGACAACACTAATCCCCTGTTATCTAAGGCCCAGATCAACATCCACTCACTCGCTCATGGCCTTTGACAGTAAATCTCTTGTCTTATGTCTCTTTGTCTAAGAGTCTTTCTCACATGCTCAATCTCTGTCTTTCTCTTTCACAAAAAGCATCCCTTGAATTATAAAGAAGTCAGCTCTACAGAGATAACATATGACAGTAGCCCCATCCATCCCATTTACTTCCCTAGAACGGATTTATAGGGGACACTTAGGAAAGTAAGACAGCAGCTGTCAAATATCTTGTGTTTGGGGCTGCAAACAGATGACCGTGCCAGGGTTTAACTAACTAAAAGTAGCAACACTACTAACTAAACTACATTTTAAAACAACATGAGAGTAGCTTTTCCAGTATTTGGGCTAGTGTAATAAAAATGTGTAATAAAACATATAACAATAATAATAATAATAATATAGTATATTATTAATAGAAAGAATTCCAAGTAACAAATAACTCTCCTATCACACAGAGCCGCAAAAATTACTAAAACGTTGTATTTTGCATGCCAGGCCAGTAGATGGCGATGCCACTTTGTAAAGAAACTCGTGCATACCTATAGACTGAACATGTAATAATGATGTCACCGTTTTCACAAATTTATGTTTTTATAGTTTATACAGAGACAATAATGTTATCACTTTCAAAAACTTTGAAACCAGTTTTTAAAAGTTTCCATTTTCTGTGGTCTGTGCTACTTGCAATGCTTTTCTGTATTTGGTCGCGTTGTGCGTATATGCAGCACGTTTCTGTATTTTGAGTATTTGCAGCATGTGTTGTCAAACTGATGAAGATGTTTTCTTAATTTGCTGGTGCTTTTTCAATTTTTCTTAAGTTGCAGCACATTGAGCTCTCTCAGCCACCAAATATATGTACCATTTAGGAGTAAATAAGGTACAAAGATGTACCTTTTAGCTTTTGTACTTTAGAGTTCTGCCCAAGAGATAATTTTGTATCTTTTTTAAGTGTATAAGCCCCCAAAAAACCCATATCGGTTGGGCTCTATTTAAAATAATTGTTTTCTATTTGAATATATTTTAAAATGTAATTTATTCCTGTGATGCAAAGCTGAATTTTCAGCAGACATTACTCTGAGTGCTCCACCTGCTAATGAGCCACTCATGGGGTTGCGAATAGCAGTCACCATTTGTGCTAGGTGTAATTTCAAGTCTGCAACACAGTTATGCAACAGAACTCCAGGATTTCCAGCCATGAATTATTTAACAGAACAGGCATTCTAAACCATACATACTGGGGTGAGCATTTTGTGTTTGTAATTTTATGGTACATTTAGTGCTTCTCACAATGGCGCACCAGTCAGTAGTTATATCACAGGGCAAGTGTGCTGGCCGATAAACCACAAGCACGCATTAACATAATGCTTTGTCTCTATTGCAATAATGGTAGATTAAAGCTGTCATCATGTGCACAGACTGGTAAAGGACATACACGTATTTAAGAAACACTAAGTGTCTCCCACCATTCTATAGTCCGAATTCATTATTTTGCAACTTCATATCTCATGTGTACATTAATGAAAGGTAAAAACTATTACATTATCACAATGCGTGCAAACAATGATGAATTAGTCATAAAATAGAGGCTGCATAACTGCATTAGTAGACCAGTATTACATTGTGCAGAGAATGGGAATTTATGATGATTACAGACATGCTTTTATTGCTCAAATAAATACATAAATAGAGTGCCCTTTCTGTGTTGTATAAGTAATCACAAACATAGGACTGGCCAGTATCTGATCAGTGTTCAAACCAAAATAAGCTAGAAAAGGATGGGGTTAATCAATAAACTACTCTGAGGGACACTGAGGATAATATTCCTTTATTATTTGAACTCAATAAAGTTCAATTCCCGTGATGGAAGTGTCATGAGAGGGTATTAAATATGGTTTGATCAGTTCACACAGTTCTAAAGGCCTCACACTGACATTTACCTCTTTTAAACACAATGAAAGCTTTTACAATCACTCAGGAGCTGAACTCAGTCAGAGGGACGTGAGCTAGAAAAAGAAAACATCCTGCTAAAGGAGCGGAGCAGCCACTTCCTGTGTATACACTGATAACTGGTGGATTCAGGGTCATGTCAAGCTAACGACTGGAGAATATAGAGGTGGCTTCAAGGTTCAGGTGGGGTAAGGTCTGCTTTGATAAAGTCAAATATAAAGGTTAACCCTCACACTGGATTTGCTGGTAAGATATTTCCGGGGAGATATTCAAGGCTGACACATCTTGCTTACTAAGAAATTCTCAGCCTTGTGCATCTGAAGTCATATAATGCTGAAAAAGCATCCAAGCGACACCAGACAGCAGTTTCTGATGACAGTACAAGCTCATAAATGTTCTCAAAGCAGCTGTGACAATAAATCAGAAAAACCAAGTTGTGCGATCATACACAGTGCATAGAATTTATCAAATAAATGTCATTAACACCTAGATTCATTTAAAAAGTGCAGAAAATGAAATATTGTGCATGAATTCACTATAACCTATAGTTTTCCTGCAAGATGATCGACAGCAGTATATTTTTTCTGCTACGAATATAGAATGTTTGAGCAGTCATTTTTAATCATATTTCCAACTGTAATATTGCCCCTTTGTTTTTGTTTTTTTGTGTGTGTGACGTGAATGATACTTTTTACTACTCATTTCAGAGTAGTGGACACTTTTTGTATTATGAGGTGATGTATTTAGAATAGAATAGAGTGGAACAGAATATATTTGCATGTCAGAAGTTGACCACTTACAGTGACACCAGCCCAAATGGCAGCACCAGTGCAGTTTGAAACACTTTCCGTGGCTGTGTGTCGCGCAGATGGACAGTCCATCACAGGCGAGAAAGTCCGGCCGGCCTGCACAGCTTTTGGCCAGAGCTTGAGCTTCATCTAACTTATCACTCTTCAAAGCCTTCTGAGCTCCAGTGTAAGCCATGGTTACTGTAAGAGAAGAGTCATGCGATGAAAATACACTGTGTTATCTACAAAAAATGCATTACACATAGGAAAGTTTTAGTCTAAAATAATAATGAATAAATTGAATAAAATGTATTTAGGACACTTTCTATGACAGTATACCAAATGTAATAATTTCACATTTTATATTTAGTATTATATAATATTACCATGTGATATCATTATTTTATGTAAAATTTTACTGTATTAAAAATAAACAGCAGTCTTAAATAATAAGAACTATCCACGTATTTGGAGTTTGGTTTTGCTTACCTTAATCAGGTTTGAGCACTCAAAGCTGGTGATATCCTGCCATCACACAATATCTGCATTAAACTTCCCACAACATCTGCATTAAGATCCCTGCAGTCGTAATGAATATGAAGAATTACATTTTTCCATATTAAACTGACAAATGGCTTCTGGATGCGGATAATCCTTGGGTTTTCGTAAATTTCCAGAGAAATGTCAATTGAACTGAGTTAAAACAACGGTAGCTGTCAGATGTCTATTGAGGAGCAATCATGCACGTGAAGGGTTCTGGAGCGTTCGCTATTTAAAGATGGAAAAAAGCTCAGCAAAGCAGCGCAGATTGAAACTTCTGTGAAACACAATCCCGGTGGCGCTCCTCGAGCTGCTGCTGCCGCGGCGGATGCTGCTCCGGGACTGAGTGAGAGCTGCTCGCACGCTGACACATATTATACTGCACACAGCGGCAGAGACGACACTTGACCAGCAGACGGCGCTGTATTCTCCTGAGAGCCATTACAATGGTTTTCTCGTTTATATAATTTTATTGTAAGGTGTATAAAGAAAAGACATTAGAAAGACTTTCTAAAATAATGTATTTTTATTGTTATTATTATTATATTAGGCTAATTAGACTTATCCTTGGTAAGTTGGTGAGTTTTCAACACATCTTGATGATTAGTGAATCTAAGTACTGATGCAAACTTCTGAGTTCTCTCCTTATGAATATGTACAAATAATTTGGTCTTCATAGTTTTCTACACCATCTTTGGGCATAGTTCAAAGGGGTGAACACAAGGGTTTAGCGGTGTTTAATTAAACAGCCTCAAACATATCTGGGTAGCAGCACAGAAGCAATAGCAATTAACTTATCCCTTGCAGCAAAGCACAAATCACATCATACACAGTACACCTCACAGACCAGCTATTCCACATAGATCCTCAAAGCCAAATTAATTTAAAAGTTTTCCCTCAAACTGAATGCACAGCCATATAAATAATCAAAAGCATTTTAACAGGTAATTCATCATGTATACACTACCGTTCAAAAGTTTGGGGTCAGTAAGATTTTGGTAAGAAATTAAGACTTTTTGTTAGCTAGAATGCATTAAATTGATCAAAAGTGACAGTAAAGACATTTATAATCTTACAAAAGATCTTTCAAATAAATGCTGTTCTTTTGAACTTTCTATTAATCAAAGAATCCTGAAAAAATATGTATCACAGTTTCGACAAAAATTTAGCAGCACAACTGTTTACAGCATTGATAATAAGAAATGTTTCTTGAGCATCAAATCAGCATATTAGAATGATTTCTGAAGGATCATGTGACGCCGATAACTGATAGTGGCTGCTAAAATATTCAGCTTTGCCATCAGAAATAAATTACATTTTCAAAATATATTAAAATAGAAAAGTTGTTTTAAATTGTAACAATATTACCGTTTTACTGTATTGTTGACCAAATAAATTGAGCTTTGCTTAGTATAAGAAACGTCTTTCATAAGCATGGTAGTGTACACAGAATTTAAGTTATTGTGAATATGTGTGGCCAGTTGCAACTATCTGAGAAACCTCTCATCCAAGAATCCTTTAAAGATAAAATGCCACTTTTCTAATGCATTTTGACAGTAGGGTAAATGAAACACCAATGGGCCATGAGACCAGAGCTGTGAAAAAATGAAACAAACTAATTTGCTTGGATTTGTTTGGCTTTCTGCCAAAACTAAAGACATCTTCTTCTAAGAAATGCTAAAAATACAACACAGGACATTAAAACCTCTTCAGGGAGACATAATGAGAGCGATGAGACAGGGTTAAGAGTTGAGAAAGTAAATTCTTTATTAATAACAGGTTTTATGCAGTTTTTTAAAACTAACAGATTTTGCGTGTTGTGTATGGTGCTTTCAGAGATGGCTGTGCATTGTTTTGATATGCTCTCTCCATTTTTGAACAGGAGGACTGCCACAAGCCACAAGTTTTTTCAACAATGGACTGGGCTTCAAATGAGGTACATCAGGATGGGCTTGGTGGTAATGCTCCAACCTCTCCAGCACTCTTTCCAGGCCCACCATGCTGGCGTAGAACATGGGCCCACCTCGATGCCTTGGAAAGCCATAACCGAACAGATAGATGACATCAATATCCTCGGGTCGGGCAGCTATGCCATCTTCTAGGATACGGAAGCCCTCGTTGGCCAGGGCGAAAAGGCATCTCTCGATTATTTCCTGATTTGAGATGTTGTGCGGTTGAATGCCATACTTGCTCCTGTACGTCTCGAGGAGGATCTGGATAAGTGGGTCAGGTTTCGCGTTTGTGCCTCCACGTTTGTCGTACATGTACCAACCACGACCAGTCTTCTGGCCAAACCTGCCTTTTTCACAGACCATGTCTGGAATGGGACAGTACCTACGTCCTTGGCGCCTACGTGGGGGATTTTCTGGGTCAACATCAGACCCGGTCAAACCAGATTCCTTCCAGACTCTCCAACCAACATCAAGGCCTGCAAGGTCAGACATCCTAAAGACTCCCATCGCAAAACCAAAGTCCTCCAGAGCCTTGTCTATTGTTCAGGTGTGGCCCCCTCCTCCAGCAGGAAGGTGGCTTGATCTATGTAAGGCTTTAGCATGCGGTTTCCAACAAAGCCAGGGCAGTTTCCAACAGCAACTCTCACCTTTCCCATCCTCTTCCCAAGGCTCATTGCTGTAGCAATAGTTTCACTTGAGGAACGAGGCCCGCAGACAACTTCTAGGAGCTTCATGACATGTGCAGGTGAGAAGAAGTGCATCCCAACCACCAGGTGTGGTCTGTCCGTCACACCAGCCAACGCATCCACATCCAGACCAGACGTGTTGGTGCAGAACAGAGTGGCTGGTCTACACACCTTGGACAATTCTTGGAAAACACGCTTCTTAAGTGCCATGTCTTCAAAGACCGCTTCAATAACAAGGTTCACATCCTTCAGGTCCTGTAAGCTGATGGTGAATTTGAGGAGATTGAGAGAGGCACTCACTCCCCGTCTTTTGGCATCTCTCTCCAGCATGCCAATCACCATCTGCCTGCCAGTCTCCAAGAGTTTATTTTCTGACTCTACAGCAATGACAGAAATTCCCACACGTGCCAGACACACAGCAATGCCCCTTCCCATAGTGCCCAGACCTAAAAGAGTGACAAATTGATGGTCAGAACAGAGTAAAACAAAACCACCAATTTAAAACAACATAGGCACAATTAGACTTGTCAATTGGCAGATGGTGAAACTGAGCAGAGCACAAAACTGCCAGAATTCTATGCATGATGGTTTGCACAGTGCCAGCATCCTTCCTCTGTGATAAGAGAACATCTCTGCTTGTCTCAAACTTCAAGAAAACAGATGGCTGAAAATCAACATTAGCACACTAACAACCAATAAGTGTATAAAGCGGTCCAAGATGAGAATATTCAACAAAAATAAGACAATGAGGGTTTTAAATTAACATTTTTTTTTAAATTTACTTTAATATTGTTCAATAGAGAGAGAATGATGCCAGCAATGGTTTCAATGGTTTCACAGGGGGCACGCTGAACAAATGTATGCTTTAAAGTCACTTTGGGTTAAATAAATGAAAATAAATGTAAAACAGTAAAAGAAGATATTTTGAAAAATGTCTGAATACGGTTTGTCCACACACAATGAAAGTGAATGAAGAAAGTAAGTCAAGTTAAGTAAATAATGACATTTTTTCACATTTCTGTGAACTAACACCCTATACCATTCAGTGTTATTTTAGCATTTTGTGTATACTATCATAGTTTTTATTAATATTTTTGATTAGCTTTTAGTTTTATATTTTAATTGTAATTTTTAGTGAATGTTCAGTAAAGGTGCTGTGTTATTATTATTATTTAAATATTACTATACTACTAAATTATTATTTATTTATATTAACGTTTTAATTTAGTTTTAATGTCCATTTAGTAATTTTAGTGCTTCAACTTATTGCAGTCAGTTGCCAAGACTACGTTTTTAAACTAATATTTATGATTTATTTCAGCTTTATTTAAATTAACCTTAATGTTTTAATAGTTTTAGTTGACAACAATAACTCGGTACCATTCCCAGGTCTTGTTCATGCCCATGAAGACATTCTCTTTTGATACCCATGACGGCTGCACTTCGGATCTCTCTGGGTTTGCATGGCATGCTCACTCTTCGGGAAAGCAGCGGTTTGGCTGTTAAAGATATACAAAATATGATGTCAAAATATTATGTGAAACATAAAGGCAGTGCTGGGTGGACAGTCCTGAACCTTTCCGGTGACTAATGCCTATTCCCGATTTGATTTACAGATTATAGATTAACAATGAAAAGTGGTAATGATCTATATACAGTTACACAAAAAAAACATACAGTACTGAATCTGTCAACAAGTTAATCTACCAATATTTCAAAACCCTTATGGTAATATACAGTGGGTACGGAAAGTATTCAGACCCCCTTAAATTTTTCACTCTTTGTTATATTGCAGCCATTTGCTAAAATCATTTAAGTTAATTTTTTTTCCTCATTAATGTACACACAGCACCCCATATTGACAGAAAAACACAGAATTGTTGACATTTTTGCAGATTTATTAAAAAAAGAAAAACTGAAATATCACAGCTAAAATATGAATTGAATTTCTGAAAGTCTGAAAGTGTATAACCCTGGCACTCAAAGCACAGTGTGGCAGACACTGACTTGAGTCATATTCTGTCTGGCATACACACCATTCACACTTCCTCATATATACACTGGCACAACAAACCAACACACACACACACACACACACACACACAACAGCCCATCAAAACTGCATTTTTCTGAACTTACCAGAGGTTCTAACGTTTGATTTCCTTCCTCACTAAAAGGATTATGCAGGGTGGTACTTGATTCAATATAGTTTCTAACTGCATTAGATTCATTTTCTCTCTGGAATCTGGGTCACACTGATGAGCCTTAAAGGGCCAGCAAAACCAGAAACCAACAGTTCTGTCTGCTTTCTGCACTGTCCTGTTTTGAGCAATCAATATAAAGTATATTGATAGGAATGAGTATTTTAAAACTGTGCTCAAGGGTATGATTTATTAATTCTCTAAATTTCAGAGCTGCAAACACTGCATATTTTTCACTAAACATGATTCACTAAGCTTGTGTTCATTCGTTGTACTATACAATGGCTATGAGTAATTCCTTTAAATTAACACATAAAAGCATAAGGAGTGTTCAGTTTGATGTCTAGTGTGCTGTGCACACTACTGCATGATACAGATGTATCTGTGGTTAATCTGTGATTCTGTGGGCAGGACTTGAATCACTAATGCTGTGATTTATTGTGAGTAAGTACTGTAGGGCTGGGTTAGATCCTGATAGGTGCATTTGGCAGATGTTTCTGCAACTGGAAAACAAGATGAATATCTGTAGCTATGAGAGCCGAGAGCGAGACTCTACAAAAAGTGTTTAGGGAACATGAATATGCCACTTCTGAT